ATCAAACGAATTACCTTTCGCGTAAACTTTATTACACGCTCATTTCTAACATTTACTACAATTCTAACATATTAATTATATATTAATACTTAATAAATAACTGCGATAGATCAAATTATATAATCAGAAAATTTCTAATACCACCGAAATAAACGACTGAAAAATACGTAAAGTAAAATGAACTTTGTAGGAAGTATTTTTTTTGGTTGAATTTTGTTGGGAAAAAAAGTGATGAGAGTGAACGACGTGAACCAGCAACATCGAGACAAAAAATAAATAAGAGAATAAAAAGTAGGTAAAAATAGGTTTATCCAGAGACGGAAGGCGTTTAGCTCGAGAAAAAAAAAGAACATGCGATAACACCAGAAAAGTTTTTTTAGACAGAGAAAGAAAAGGTAAGATCCCTCGACGATAAGTATGGCCCTTAAAAAAAGGTGGAATTCTACGTTTGACTCCTACGTAACAGATAACGATAAAACGTTTTGTCCTAAGTTATTTTCGAACACGTGAAAAAGCAAGCTCTCTTTTTTACTCACATCAGAAGAGAAACAAGAAATGGAATAAAAGGATTGTTGAATGTTGTTTCGTAAAAAAAAAAAAAAAGGATTAGTAAATTGAAAAGATTTATAAAGGAATATTCAATGATTAGATCTATCATTTTCAACTGAGATAACCCGAAACGAATCGAGAGAAACTATCGAATGAGAAGTGCAACTCGCATGTTTGACGACCTTTCTATCTTATTCTTACTCTCTCTCATTCTGATATACAGGAGCACTCTCTTACGTGAATAACGTTCCGCTAACCCACTTCATCGGGCTTGCAGAATTCAAGGCGTGTCTCTCCGGTGTGAAGAAAACACCACCACCACCACCACCACCACGGTTTCTCCATTTATTTTACGTCTTTATATTTCTATCATTCTCGAGAGATTTTAATAATACAAAGCGATTATATCGTCTTGTTATTCTACATATGCCAACATTTTTACAGACAACGATATTTTATAATATCTGTAATATTTTCTATACGTTACTATAAGAAGAAGAAAAAAACAGCTATAGAAAAATAACCAGTAAGATACTATTGTTGCATTTAAAATTAATTTTTAATGTGTTGCTATAAAAAAAAAGAAAAAAGAACAATTACAAATGAAAAAAAGGGGATAGGGTAAAGCAGATGGTGGTGGTTGCTGCTTGAAAAATATATTTTCTATTATCTAAAATGAAAATATAATAAATCTTTCTCTCTATTTTTGTTTCAGTTCTTTCACAAAATGTTGTGACATATCATCCTTCGTAGGTAGCCCTTTTCATAAAAGAAACAATGGCAATAAAAATGTATAGTCATTGTTGAAGCCCATATTTCTCGAGATAATTTGGAATTCTATCCTGTAGCAATAGTATGCAGAACTCGTGTTGGCCGGCTCGTACTCGCACGCGTTAGAGAAGTGACACGAGGGCCAACGTTTTACGACGGTTTAATGCTCTCGGAGGTGCATTCCAATTGCGCCAATAAATCCCCGGGACCGAAGCTCTTCCTCCTCGTCGTAGTCATCTCTCTCTCTTCCTCTTTCTCTTCCTACTGTTGCTCTCGTCAGTGCTTTTCTAAACCGAACAACACGAACGGAAAGACTAGACTACCTGCTCTCGACACCAATACGGATTCCTTTGTATTTAATGCTTTGTCTCTTATATATATATATATATATATAATTGGAAAAATTAAACATAATTATTCTATATGATACAAACAATTGAAAAAAAAAAAAAAAAAGTAAATTTTCATTTAATACAAAATTTGAATAAATTGACATATAGCGTTAAGCATTTTACAAATCATATATTAATTCTAGAAAATATAAATACTAATCGAGGAATAAATTTGTTAAGAATGAAACATTTGTATGATTGAAAAAAAAGAATAAAATAATATAATAGAAAGTAGAAACTGAAAAAAATAAACGAAATTGATTTCATTTGAAGAGATTGCGCAAGTTGAGGAGACCACCAAAGAGAAGGAGGCGAGGAGTTCTTTGCTCTTTTCACGTCGATGTGGTTCTCTATCTCTCTCTCTCTCTCTCTCTCTCTCTCTCTCTCTTTCTCGTCGGTGTGAAATTGAGAGCGAAGCATGGTGTGTATAAGGAACACAGAAAAGTGGGTCGCTTCTTTCGTTCGGTATGAAAAAAAGGCCAGAGGCCAGGACAATGAGCACAACGTGGGCACAGCGGGTCGTCCTCGCGGCGTCCTCGCTTCTCAGGCAAGGCCAAAAGGGGGCCACCATAAGCAACTCACCGAAAGAAAGAAAGATAGAGATAGAAAGTATGATGGTTCAGGGCCCCATACGGCAAAGAGACGAGCGGCAGCACGCGGCCCGGGTAAAACGCGAGGGGATAATACCGTCGGGTTGGACCCACTGAATAGATCAATTTACAATGGCAGAAAATGAGCAGCTCTTTCCTCTCCTTTGCTCTCTACCCCCTTCATCTACCCCCTTCATCTACCCCCTTCATCTATCCCTTTCTCTCTCTCTCTCTCCTTCACGTTTCCTCTCTTTCGAGCAGCCACTGATGCACGAATGAAAGATTGCCGCGCGCATACTTATATTTATTATTTCGAGAACATTCAAATAAATCCAAATTTCTTTTCATTCTTATCGATACAATTGTTAACAATTAATAATCTTAGTTTAATAATTGATTCCTACGTTCAACATTACTACTATTGCATATTCGGAAAACCCTTTTTTATATATATATATAATCACATTCTATCGAAATAAATGAAATGGCAAAGATTTGTTATCGAGGTAAAAACTTATAAAATAGATAATTTACATAGAAAAGAGAGTAACAGAGTGAATAATAGAGATAGAGGCGCGTGCTTTGATGCAAATGAAGTTCGTACGTGAGTCCGCACGCGTTTAGAAATCAACGAACGAGCAAAGCGAATAACTGAACGATCGGGCAAAACGCATAATCCGTGCACAGCGTGAGGGCTCTTTTGTGTGTCGGCTTGCGCTATCTCCGTAGAAATATCGGGGATAAAAAAAGGAGAGAGAGAGAGAGAGAGAGAGAGAGAGAGAGAGAGAGAGAAGAATATTGTACACGTTCACCGCAAAGAACCGTCACCTGCTTATCTCCTAACGTCTCTTAATAAAGCTTCCTTGACTATATTACTTCTACTTATACTGCTACTTATAGATACTTCCTTTCCTTTTATTTCTTTTTTTCTATACGCGTCATACCCCTATTTTTTCGCGCGAATTTATTTATAAGATAATTTACGTTCCGACGAAATAAATATTTTATACGATATACAGATATTATTATTATAGGCTATTATTTTCGAATTGAAACGGCAAAATTAGTTAGAGGAAAAAAGATATTTGATCTGATTGATTATTTTTGGTATCTATTTCCTTTGTTTGTTTTTTAAATATAACACTCTCTCACACGTTAGATTTAGAAATTTCCTACCTATCCATTTATACGTTTATATTCTATATACGCCTTATTAAGATGCAAATGTCACGTCAATTTCGTAATAGCTTAGTACTTAACCGAGAAAGAATTGCAACGCGTCGCACATATATGCACTCGACTTGATAATGTCACAACAAGACGCGGATAAATAATAGAAATAGCGAACCGGATAACCGATCTATCGGCGATACGAGAATTCTAAAGTTAATGTAATCGTCGTCTGGAAAAATGAGTCTTTTCTTTTATCTCTTGTTCATTAGCTCGTTTTATAACAACAATGTCTCATTGACGATGTTACGGCGAAATAATATAGAATAAAAAAAAAAAAAAGGTAACAATACGATGACGTGTTAAATTTAATCCACTTAGAAACCTTCCCAAGGCGTATACCGAGATATTTTTAGCGAATTATAAGGCACGTTCAATGTCTTTAAGTTTGTAAGTAACTAAGTACCGTACACACCCACACGTGAAACACGTTTACCTTATCCCATATTGCTGGGGAGGCTTAACTTTTATCGTTATCTCTGCGTAAGACCGCACAAAGCTATCGCTACCGCGTTACCGAACTCCTAAATTTAATAACACCGGCTTGTCCACGAATTTCACCAGCCCACGTGGACTTCTAGCATCAATTTTTCTTTCTACGTACAATATATTCTTTCTTTTTTTTTAGTGTACAATCTATTAAATATTTCTAATATCGTAATTAAACAACAGTAAATATTCGCGTGAATTTAGCAAGAAATATTCGTACCTAAGATAAATATACCGAACGATTGCATACAATCGAAACTTTTCGTATCGTAAATAAATTCAACATATTATAATACTCTTGAGCATAGAATAACATAAGAGTTTAAGCTTTTAATTCAGTACTTAGGTATCGTCACGCTCGATTCGATTTCGTTGCAACGAAATAAAGAATAAAATAGAAATAGAAATAGAAATATTGGCATAACGAGCGGTTTGTTAAATTGAAGTTCTCATTCTTCGTGTCGGGTTTGCGCGTAGTGCGGCGGCGTCGTTTACCAGCACCGTCTATACCCCATATACCGGTTTCACAGTGTGTGGCAATATATAAGGAATACATTTTTCTGTCGGGTACCAAGGTACCTTTACACGCGAGAGAGCGGTCAGGAATGTAGACGGCCAGGAGTGGTACGTTTTTAAAAGGCCCGAAATCGTTTCACCGGGGACTTACTACGGGGCTCCCTTGGCTTCTCGAGTTACCTACGCGTGTCCTTGGGGGAGAGCTACTCTCCTCCTCCTCCTCCTCCACCTTCGCCATCTCTTCTTAGTTCTGCCTAGCTAAATGAAGACAGACAAACAGAGAAAGAGAGAAAAAAAGGGTGTACGAAAGGGAAAAAGGTACGAACGAGTTCTCTTCGAAGATCCTGCATGGGAACAATAACTCGCAGACGAGCACCTTAACTGCGATCAAAACGAGAATGATCGATCTAAATCTATTCTATATTATACTGATTAAAACATTTATGGTCTTTTGTTTTTGTTTACTTACCTGTTTGGAAAAAACTGCTATGTCCTCGTTGAAACTTTCGGAGGAACAAACGTCACCTCCGGCAACACCTGGCTCGCGCGGTGTACACGTCGCCAATTCGCATTTCTCAAATATCAATGCGAGAAGCGGAAACAGGGGATGTCTGAAATGATAAATAATCATTTTATTTTCCAATCATTTTGTTTAATATTTCAATCCATAAATTAGATTAATAAAGAAAGAATTGTGACTGTCATCGCGATAGATAAAAAAAAAAAAGATATTTTTCCCACCCTAACCTATGTTGTTTATTTTGTTCTCTCCCTCTGTTTCTACCCCACAACAACGAGTGTCGCGCCTGTTAGTCTTACGAGGACGCAATTAACACTCCGACAAGCGATGGTCAACGCAAGAAAGAAAATTTAGCGTGAAGCGTACAAAAGGGACAACTTATCTTTTTTTTCTTATCTCTCTCTCTCTCTCTTTCTCTCAGAAAAAAAAACTATCTTACGACTTTTATCCATCGTACGACTCGTTTCTTTCTTGTATCTATAATTATTATAAGTAGATATATCTTCTTCATTATTGTAAAATTATTTTTTTTCAATGTTTCCTTAACGCATTCCGTGATTAAATATATCAAAATAAACTTGAATTTACGAGTTTTTTTCACGAACCCACACTATAACTCGATCTTATCGTAATCGTTTGAGTTTTTAACCGATAAGCGTAGCAGCGATAACTCCTCGAGATAATACGTCTAAACACTATCGAAATTCAACGGTTACCGAGGATCCTATTTTCTAATAAAGTTTATAATACATATATATTTATAAATAAGAAATATATATCTAATTCGATACACTCTCTCTCTCGAATTTTCTTCCTCTCTCTCTCTCTCTCTCTCTCTCTCACCCTAATTCTTTTTTTCTTTTTCCATTCGATGCGATGCGTTGATTCATGCGCAGAATACGTTTCCTAAATTTATATGTATATGTATATGTATTTACGTATTCAGGTATCTTCGTATAGCAAGTTACTACGAAGCATGGTACGGTATTAGAGGGATCTTCGGATAAGATAAGATTAACCGGTGCACCTATGTTGCAATCGAGCTCCCTGTTCGAGATTTAAAGCAGGTAGATACACTATGTACGGAGGCGGCTTCTAACAGAGAGACGATTCATCTACCTTATACTTTGCCAATCAGTATCATCTTTGTGCAAACTAATTCTAATATCTATTATTATTACTGTACCATATTGTCGTGAAATGATTCTTCAAAAAATGATAATAATACACGTGACTTTGAAAATATCTACACGTATACATAGATAAAAATATACATCATTTATTATGCACAATTATTATTATTTTTTTTCGCCCTCTGTTATTTTTCGTCCTTCGAAAAAAATACAATGTGGCACGTTAGTAATTATATTATTTTCCCCAACATTATTTGAAGACGGAGAATGATCCAAAGCGTGTTGGTAGCAAGACGGTAGAAGGTGTTCTGTGTGCCCATGGTAGCGGGTCGCGACTCGCGGACATAAAACGATACGGAACGAATTTCGACAAATTGACGTGTAGCCAACGCGCTGCAGCCCTCATCCTTTTCTCTAAGGAAATAAATAAAAAGAAAGAAAAAATACCACCGTAAACTTCGACCCGCAGAAAAGAGAGACCCTTTACACTTTATTTTTTTTCTATTACGAGAACTAACTGATCTAGGACTTTAACGTTTGTATCGAATATATATCTGTTATTTTTCATAAAACAAAAAGTAATTTATAATAAGTTATATATAAAATGGATCGACACGAAATGTATGCAAAGAATAAAGGTCTAAAAAAGTAAAGAAAATGAAAAAAAAAAAAAAAATGGAATCGAATCGAGTTATTGCTAACGATCCGTTAATTCATTCCGTTCGAACGTGAACGATTACGAAGGAGTTACGAAAAGCAAAGCCGCACGCGGTTTCTCTCGTACAAGTGTGAGTGAAAGAGAAATACCAATAGAACAAATGCTCGTGCGCATGGAGTGCACGTTTTCCTAAGCGGTCGAGGGACAACAAAGTGCGACGTCGATGACAAATGACGAGTCGAAACGAGGTGTCAGAATGACGGAACCGCAAAAGGTAATGATATGATTGGCCGTACGGCCCCGTTCAACGGGGGATGTTTGCGGTTTTGCGGTTTCCGCCCTCCGATGCGCTTTCTATCTATCTCTTTCTCTCTCTATCTCTATCTATCTTGGTTACTCTTTCGCGGCTCTTTTTACACGCGGCCATCGGCTGCTTTATGATTTACTACGCACCACCGACATTTACGGCTCATCCACGGCTTCATTTCGAAACACGGTCTAACTCTAATACCCCTAATGTTCTATACTTTTTATCAATATCTTACAAATTGATATAGCTAATGTATACATATATATTTGGTTGTCCCATAAGTTCCATCCCTTTTTTTTTTTTTTTTTTTTTCATGCGAAATCATACAAAAGCGTGTAAAAATATGCAATCGAAATTTTACTGTGAAATTGTAATATGCGTTTACCCGTTTGCTGTGTGAATTTCAAATAATTGCAAGAAAAGATAAAATATTTGAAAAAAAAAAAGAACTCTCTGATATAAAAAGTGTCGGATTAAAAACGCGTTTTTGCATAGTCGCGTAATTCGATTTTCGTGCATTTCGATTTTATCGATGATTAATGGAAAAACAACGGACTTCGAGTATCGACGATAAAATGCGATAAGAATATACCGCCGATACCGGTTATCGAATGTTCCTTACATCTTTTAAATAACGAATTTGTGTATGATAATAAAAAAAAAACAAAAGGAAAAAAGAAAAGGAAATGAAAAATATCGGTGCTAGCTGCAAATATTGGACTTTGATTTTCGACAATTTCTTTTATCTTACAGCTAAGAAAAGAAATAGAGAGAGAGAGAGAGAGAGAGAGAGAGAGAGAGAGAGAGAGAGAGAGTAGAACCATCCAAAATCGATTGGAATTTTAAATGGCGGATAATCGATCGTTCGCAAGACGTTACGTCTCGCCTTCAACATCGACGGAATAAATTTACCACGGTCGTAATTACATACGAAGGTCTTCTCCTTCTATCTATCAATTCATCTCTCTCTCTCTCTCTCTCTCTCTCTCTCTCTCTCTCTCTCTTTTTCTCTTTCTCTTTCTATCTCTCTACATCTATCTCTTTCACTCGTACACGTTTACAGGAGGATTTGCGTGAGACGCAGAAAGACATCCGATCCGCACGGATGACTCGGCCAATCGAACTCCTTGCATAAGAAGTCGAGTCTTCTAGATGATTGGCAGATTCTCCTGTCAGTTACGTACACGGTTTTACGTAAAACCTTCTTCGGTATCCGTGTAATCGGCTCGGCCCTTCGATCCTACGACGGGCAAACCGATCCACGTGCTATTTTTCTATCCGCGAACTACGAACTTCTATTTCAATAAAAACTTCAATTTTTATTAGAAAATATCGACAAAGTAGATAAAAGGAAATGATAGAATCTTGAAGGAGCTCGTGCGATGCTCGAGGCGTGCGACCCAACAGTGGACAAATTACAGGTTACGCGAAATAATGAGGCTCCTGTTCTAGGATACGTCCAGAAATCGGGCCATCTTGCAGAACCATAAATCACTATGTGAACGCGGCCTTCATAAAACGGCCACCACCACCAACGAGGAGAGAGAAAGATCAAAGATGATTCACATTCCCTCTTTCTCTCTCTCTCTCTCTTTCTCTCTCTCTCTCTCTCTCTCTCTCTCTCTCTCTTTGTTTCTTTCTTTCCTTCTTTAGCTACGTTTCACTACGCCTAGGCACGCGCCTATTTCATCCTTAACACGTTCCTTTAACAATCTACAATTTATTGTCCAAATGTACCAAACTTTCTATCCTTTACTTTATGACGAATAATTCCAACGGTTAATAGTACCTACATCATTAAGCTTTGCGAGAAAAACTATCTAAATATGTGTATGTTTTATATATACGATCATTATTTATCCAGGAGGAAAAAGAACAAAAATTTCGCATATAAAAAATGATTAAGAGTAAATTATCAACGTTAAATAGAAATTGTAGTTATGTTAGAGGATGTACAGTTAACCGTAGATTGGTAGTCAAGCATAGATACTAAAGCCATATACACATTTATCTGTGAAAATTATCGTAAAAGCTTCATATGATAAATCAGGCTATAGGAAAAATATAAAATGTACGATCGACGACGTGCAACGAACTGTAAAAGCTTCTTACGATAAATCAGCCGATAAATGTGGCGACAACGTTAACGAAGGAATGTTAATAAAAATGAAAAATGAACGAATCATTGTAATTTCGATTAAACGAATTTGGACGAATCGTCGTAAGCTTTAAAAACACTGATTCGCAGTTATATCATTATTTTTTTGTTCCCCTCTATCGTAAAAAAGATTGATAGGAAAAGAAAAAAAAAAAAAAGTATATGTACTGCATAGTAAATGATAGATATTTCAAAGTGAAAAATGACGAATATATCGTGAATGTAAGTAACGCGAAATAGATACTAGTTTAATTTATATTATTTCCAAACGAACAACGAGTATAACTCAGTCGTTAAGCTTCCAGGTCGAGCGATAAACTCGAAGCCTTCGAAATATGCATTACGGAATTATGCAGATTTTTCTACCTTGTCGCAGCTCGAGAAGCAAGTCCTTCGAAACATTTCAAAAAATAATATTTAAGTCCGTATCTAGTTGTATAATATAACCTTCTTTCACACATAAATGTACACACGTACGAATGGAATTATGAATAAGTTAAAAGAAAAAGAGAAAAGTAGAGACAAAACATATCGTTGTCTTCGTCATAGTCGTACTCGTAGTAGGTAATAGTCGTCGTCGTCGTCGTCGTCGTCGTCGTCGTCGTCGTCGTCGTCGTCGTCGTCGTCGTCGTCGTCGTCGTCGTCGTCGTCGTCGTCATCGTCATCGTCGTTTATCCATATGATAATTTTATTCTACACAGGTCTCCGATATGTCATAAAAAAACATATTGCGTGTGAAAAAGAGCAGACAAGTTCGAACTACAATTCTGATGACGCGATTCGAGTCTTTGAATTATCGATATTCACGATACGTGGTCTAGATATGAACCTATGTAATAATCCTACGTGTGTGCGTTATTATTTAATATTTGTATTTTTGTTCTATCTATCAAAGCCAATCCCTTGGGAATTCTTCAATATCACAAATATCGATTGTCAGAATATTATATGAAAATATTACAATTTTGAATGATCTATTCGCGCACTTTCTCCCTGCGATATTTAATAATAAGTAAGAGTAGAAAGAAAGGTAAAAGTAAAAAAAGAAAAAAAAGGGTCGAATGGGATTTGATGAGTGGCACTAACCCGTAAATGGCGTCCTTGTCGCGTTTGTGTACATCGGGCACCGCCGAGGCTGCAGCGGCTGCAGCCGCTGCAAGCACGTGTTGGGGTGGCTGGGGCGGGGGCGGGGGATATTGAGGGTGGGCCGGTCCCATACCCCCGAGGTGTGGGCTATGGTGAAGACCCGGAACACCGCGGGCACTACCGTGTGGATCGTATAGCCCAGCTCCTCCACCCCCACCACCTCCCTCGAGGTAGGCCCCATGCAGCCCGCCATCGTCGTACTGTAAACAAAAATCATTTCAACGATTAACATTATTTCTTGACATATTTTGAATAATAAATTTGTTTGCAGGCGATAATCTATCTAACGCATGGCAAAAAAAGAATATGTGACGGAATCGTTTATCGTTGCAAATAATACATCCATATATTTCTCCTCCTCCACCCCCTAGTGACTCTTTATATCTTTTTTTAATCCAAGTACGGGATAGTCGAGAGTTCCACAACAACAAAGTACGTGAGCCGAACGACAGCTGGTAGTGCGAGCTAAGGGCAGACGCGTTCTAAAACCGGATACCGTACTCGTACAACACCATCGACGATACGCCTAAGTGGAACGGTTAAAGTAACTATAGGAAAAATAGCTTTAGCAAAATGAAACTTCACGGCCGACGACTCCCGCCCGACGTTTACTTTGTTTTCCTTCATTTATATATTTTTTGTTACTTTAGTCGATAACGCAAAGATAAGCAAGCAGGAAAACAAAATCGTACAGATATTTTCTTTTCTTTTTTATTATTTTCTTCTTCTTCTCTTATTAATTTTTCATTCACAAATTCATTCGACTCGCGGTCTCCTCGATAAAACGCGGAAGGTAACTAATTATTAAGGCTAATTGCGTGACTCTTTCATAGAAACGCTCGAGGCAGGTTATTTCTTCTTCTTCTTCTTCTTCATCATCATATTCTTACTTCGAGACAAATACCGAGAGAAGCTCGTGTTTATCCAAACGCGACGTTCGTGAGAGTTCCGACATAGCAAACTACGATCAACTACCAACTGAAAGCCGGATGCTCTAAGAGAATCCTTAATTATTAAAAGAACGAACCTGACACTCGACAGAAACACTCAAAAATATCACCTTCTTCTCACATATCTCGAGATTACATTGTTTTACTACATTTCACCAAGTTTTCTTGTCCATAGGAATACACCCGTGTGCGAAACGATAGCCGAGTATTATTATGTTTTACCACATCATAAATGTGAATCATACAAAACATAAAATAAAATAAAATAACAACAGGTTGATCAAGAAATTCTCTGTTACCATCATTGTTTCTTATTTATTTTCTTTTATTTCGTTAAATACTATCGAAGACGAACGAACCAATACGAAGTGATCAATAAATACATAATTAATTGCAATGACGATTTTCCAGTTGAGACTAATTATACATCTAAGCATTTTCTAACTCGTCATTGTTAATGTTTCGTGTTTGCAAGGTGAGCCAATAATTATTCCCATCTGAAATATGTTTAAGTAGTTACATATACATTTAATGATTATTACAGTTATAAACTATAGGTTATTATATCGGTAATTAATGACTCACTAAGTGTACGAAAAAAGTGGGAAAAAAGATATACATACGAAATAATGAACGTAACAATGTATAGTCACGAGGATCTACGTAAATGATAACATTTAAAACAACAAAAAAATACATTATTTCTTCACAAATAAAGAGATCACAAATTTCCATTACCGATCGATTATTTGTAAAACGCACACGTTATACGAATTTACATCGTAAACTATTACAATCGAATTGTCGAAAGAACGTTTATTTACAATCTGGGGTTAAAGTATTTAGTTCCTTTCGCAAACTTGATACGATTCCGATTTCCCGAAAGACCCTGAACCTCTCTAATGATTTTTCTAATTAATGCGTGCCTCGGTAATTAACTCTTACTCGTTGATAGACAGACAGACAGACGGATAGATGGTATCGTTGATTTACTTGACCTAAAGAATTTCGTTTAAATAAATTAATCTAAAGAATTCGCGTGGTACATAATATAAGTGCATAAGTAAATGCACGTACATAAGTAAATAGTACTAAAACATATTCGTATCTTATTCTTTTTATTATTATGCGTAAATAAATAATCAAAAAGATAGAAGAAAAAACAAAGAGAACAAAAAGAAAATAAGAAAAAAAATATCGTTTGACCATCCAAGTTGTTTTAAACGTCGTTACGATTCGAAAGTGAAAGGAGAGGCCGAAAATAAGATGAGGGAAAGCTAGAGAAGTATCTTTATGCACTTCGAAAAGACTTAAAGTATCATTTTCTCTCTCTCTCCCTCTCTTTCTCTTTGGTTCTTTCGTTCTTTCTTTAGTTCTATCTATTTTCCTCTTTCTCTTTGAACGATGTTGGTCCCACGTTTACGAGTTACTACGAGAGCAAAGATTTCATCGTAGAATGATCCAAATGATTTTATCTACCTTTTGGTCTTGTACCATTAACTAGAAACACACAGAGAGAGAGAGAGAGAGAGAGAGAGAGAGAGAGAAAGAGACTATATAAATGTGTAAACATAAGAGACCTATATACGTTTGTCTGTAGAAAGAGAAAAAGGATAGAGGAAAGCATTCGTTACTCTCTGATTAATGACGACATTTGAAAAACATTAGGACGGGAACGTATGCATACCGTCAGATTGCGATTTAATACTTGTGCTTGTTCTTAAGATTTTATATTGTTAACAATAATAATTAGGATAATGAAAATTACTTGTGCATCGAAAATATCGTAAAGTTAGTTTTTAACAAAAAAAATTCCTATTCGATTCTACTAATTTTTCTTGTATTCTTTTACTTTCCTACTCTGTCTCTCTTTTGCAAAAGATAGAGAAATAAGAAGATGAGAGAATTGCGACGGATCGTGACAGAAGACCGGACCGTACGCCGTCGGAATAACGGAATTTGAAATTGGAAGAGCGAAAGTGATTGATGTATATCCATAAATACATAATCACAGGCTGCGGTATAACACGCTTATAAAACTCCTGTCTACCATCGCCCGATTCGCGATTACAATTTTTAATCCGACGCACATTGAGATTCGTCTCGACGATCTCTCTCTCTCTTTCTCTCTCTCTCTCTCTCTCTTTTCCTCTTTTTTAACCTTTTTTTTGTTGTTGTATTATTCGTCTCTTCTAGCGCATCATAATTTTTGAAAATGAATTTCTTTGCGAATCGTGATCATCCTCGTACACAAATTCACTGTATCTTCAAAGTTATAAGAAAAAAAAAAAAAAAAGAAAAAAAAGAATAACCAAAATAAACAAAATTAAAAAATGATTTGAAACTACGTGTCAGAGTATGCAATATTTTTCATATTAACTCCGTTAAAACGCAACGCGTCGTCATATCAAAGCGATAATAATCACCCATTTCTATTCGTCTCTCTGTTCTTTTTATTATTATTATTATCTATTTATTTTCATAGAGTTTCGAAACCGAAACGTCTCTTCGGGATATTTTCTGTGAAGAAAATGAAAATGAAAAATAAAAGTTGGAGGAAAAATTGTTATTCTTGATTTTATTTTGTGAAAAGTGTTAGGTCGAACTATACGTCTCACCGTCGCGAACGAATCGCAGTTATAGCGCAATTCATCAGCCCCTTTTTTTTCACGCACTCGCATTTTACGAGACGCTTAAGTGCCGAGCGTTGAAACCGAATTACAAGCCTATTCGCCTCGCGGCTCTCAAAGTTCTTGACTACGTGGTAAAGTTACTTTTTCTTTCGTCGCACCATTCAAAACGTCCCAAACTGAATTGGAAAATTCGACAAAAAAAAGATTCTACAAATTTTGCATATTTCCTTCATCTTTTGTTTTTTTTTTTCATTGATCGAATATCATGAAATAAAATCATTGGAAAATGTGCGAAAGATGAAGGAAAATATTTGACAGAACGTTGAACGATTCTAATGCTGCCAAATTGAATTATTTTATCTTTACACGTTAACGTTTAATACAATTAAATAATGTTTCGCGTTACTTTCCTCGGAAATAAGAACGTTAATATATTTCAGTTAAAATATAGCGTAATGCTATACGTTATAGTAAAGCATCAGAAATATTATTTATTTTGACAAATAAAATAAGATAGATAAAAGAGACTATTAACAAATGTTACACCAAAAGTAATAAATCTTGACATACGGGTGACAATTAACATACGAAACTAACATGTTTGTTAATTATACTTTTATTTTTATTATGTTATTTTACTTTACAATATGATTAACATGAAATTGTGAAAACACATACTTATATGAGGAGAACGAATAAACGAAATGACGTTGACAAAACAAAAAAGAAAAATGTGAACAAAGTAATCGGTACAAATAATTAATAATAAAAGTGTCTACATCCTACTATGCAATAATATCAGGAAAGAAAAAGAAAAAGAAAAAGAAAAAGAAAAAGAAAAAGAAAAAGAAGAAGAAGAGATCCTTTCTCACGAAAGTAACGAAGAGTCGAAGTGTGTCGTTAATCCCGGTAATTATGAGAATTATCAAGAAACGAGAAGAAACTGTTTAAGAAAATAAAATATATTTGTCGTCGACACGCTTAATTAATTCCTCGAACTGTGTTGGACCGCAAAGAGAGATCCTTGACAAGGAGCCACTTGTGTGTATAATCCTGACACGCAAATTTCAAAAAGGGAACTCGCGAACTCGTTCTCGAACTCGAAACTTCCTATCTCTCACATGGAATCTGAACAAAACGTTTCAACGAATCCAACTCGTTCCTTTTCTCGCTAACTTAAATTACACGCTCGCGAATCGTTAACGATGAACGGTCCACCAATTTATACGACCATCTACACGCACTTCTCCTTCTTCTTTTGCTTCTTCTTCTTCTTCTTCTTCTTCTTCTTCTTCTTCTTCTTCTTCTTCTTTTACTCTCACATTTTTCCTTTATTTATCTCTTTATTTCTTTCATCCCTCGGTATCCTCTTATTAGGAGATTTCAAATTCTAATTTCTACAGTTTAGAGAAACGAGAGGAACGAAACGAAACACGGAAGTTTTTTATAGAATTTCTTTATAGAATTTCTTTATAGAATGAAATATTGAAACAATTCATTTTACTTCTATACAATATATTTGTTATTCTTTGGATTATTACATTAATCTACTCGATTGAAAGAGTCAATGTTGATCAAATTCATTTCTAACAATAAAGATTGGATTGCAATAAGATTTTATTCGCTGAACAAACGCAGTGGTACCCATGACTTTAATAAGAATGATAAAGTACCGACGGTAAAATAAAAACTCCTCGAATGAACGAGTGATCGAATTTTATCTGAGAAAACTTACCGAGATTTCAAGTAGTCTACGTTATTTTCGATTCAATTTATAACAACTTGGTCGTGATACTAAATTTTTATTTAACTCAAGCGTTCAAATGTATTCCCGCTACCGAAGTGTTTTAAACACTCGTTTCTGTTTACATTAAATAATCACATTGTATCGAAGTAAATGTAAATTTATTAGTAAATACTCGATTGTGTGCGTGTGTGAGTTCTACGAGCATGTATATTTATTATTTCTCGACAAAATCACGAGTTCAAGTTACGAGCAAGCATTCGTTGACACTGTTTTTATCTATCCTACTTGAATCTGATATTTAATAATTGAATAATCTTTCAATAAACTAACGGGTAAAAAGATCTTTATATTTCTACTTGTCAAACGAAGCGATCAATTAATCTCGACAAAACATAAACACCGTCTGAGATTACTCATTTTTATTTAACACGATCACGGATATTCCTTAGATACATTTTCATTAAAAACGAGATACTAAAGTTACAAAAAATACTAATCGTTCCTCGTTTAAGCAATAAATCTCAATTTAACAAGATAAACTTTTTCAAAGATATCGATCACATCTACGTTGGGATCACTCGATCTGTGAATCACTAGCCGTCGGTAAGATGATCCATGAGATCTCTTGGAGAACAACACGAGTGATGAACTATAAAAACAAAACTATCTCACAACTTCCAAATGAACGAACACTCGTAATCCTTAAAAGCACATATTATGCACCAAATCTAAAATCATTCCTTATCGTATATAGAATCACAATTTAAACCAACTATCGATTGACAAAAACGAACATAACAAACAAATTAGATTAGATCCCTCGAAAAGAATCTCACACGAACGAATTGTACACTGTTACAAAGAACAAATGATATATGCACTTTCACATGTAACTTAACTTTCTGGTAACCGTCGGCTCACGCGAGAACATGAATGAAATAGTGTGTCACGAGAGTTTGACAATTTGTTTACAATTTGTTTCAGTAAAATGATGTAATAAAGAACACGAAGAAACGAAGATACAAATAGAGAGAGCAAAATCTGCAGTAGCAGCAGCAGCATAAGAAGAAGATGAAGAAGAAAAGGAGTAATAAAATAAAAGGGAAAGTAAATAAAAAAAAAGAAAAGGCAGAGACGTACCCTTGGCTGCGCCATGAACGCCCTGGCCGCGCCGGGGAACTCTGCGTGCTGAGCCACCGTAGCGGCTGTATTTTCCCACAGTGACGAGGAAAGAAGAGGCACGGCACTTCGCGCACACTCGATTACCGCACTCTTTTCGGCTTATCGCGCCGGCGGCGTCGCGTACTCCCCGTCGCGACACCGTCTACGACAAGCCACGAAAAATCTTCTCTTTTTCGAAATTTCTCTTCCAAATAACAACGACGACAAACTTTCAATAATAATCTTGATAATCCTTCTTTCCTTGTGCAATATTTATCCGTTGGTCAACGCCGATTGTATCGAAATATGACGAAGTATTTTCAACGGAAAAAAAAAAAA